ATTCATTGCGGTTGGTATTTAGAATATTTTTATTTTTATAGTTGAGTTCGTTATTGTTTTTTTCATATGGCTTCCCTGTTCTGTATACTAGTCAGACCTTCTCTGCTTAAAGAGAAAATATTCTTCTAGCTGTCTTTACACCAGGCATGAGCTCCACATTTTAAAAAAAGGATTATGATACATTTCACATATAGAAAAACCTAGTGATATATTTTTTAAAAACTATATGCCCATCACCAGAATTAATAAATGTTAATATTTTGCTGTATCTTCTTTAAATTCTTTTCCACTGAAAACAAAATGTACAGATAGTTCCCTCTGAATGTCTCCCCAGTACCAGTCCCTCCCCTGCCCCTGAGGTAACAGCCTTCATGAAGTTGGAATGTGTCCTCCAGGGTGTGATCAGGGGCCTTAATTTTGAGACTGGGGAGCCCCCTCTAGCTAATGGAAGCGGAAGTGATTTATCAGTGGAAGAAACAGACTCTGGACTGGGTTTCCTGGAAAGTCTCCTTAAGCCACACTTCAGGGCTGGGCCGCCAGGGCAGCTGCTGGTGGAGGACGCGCTGAATCGATGCCTCTGCCTGCTTCTCCCCACCTGTGACGCAGCTCCAGATCTGAGCCTTGCTCCTCCACACCTGATGGGTGAACCCCAGTGAGATGCAGAAGCTGAGGTGTTTGGCAGGAAAGCTCTGTTTTCTACTTTGTGTGCACACTGGGAGCTTAGTGTCACACAAGCCAGTTCTCGGTATTTGTAAACTTCCTGGACATTTTAATGCTCCTACTATTCATTTTTCCATGGACAATAATGTATTGTTTTGGGTATTCAAAAAATTGATGCAAAGATGTGTGCAAGATGGAGTATCACCGTGTGTAATGGGCTGAATAGTGACCCCCAAAACTCAAATCCCTGGGAATCTCAGAACGTGACCTTATTTTGGAAATAAGGTCTTTGCAGACGTAGTCAGTTAAGAATTGTGAGATGAATCTATCTGATTCAGAATGGGCCCTAAATGATTAGTGTCCTTTTAAAAGAAGAGAAGTCACAGAAACACACACAGGGAAGGCGTCCATGTGAAGGTGGAGGCAGAGATGGGCATGATGTTTCCACAAGCAAAGGAACACCAGCCGTCACCATGAGCTAGGAGAGGCCTGGGAGGGTTTCTCCCTCAGAGCCTACAAAAAGAATCACCCTGGTGACACCTTGATTTCAGACTTCTGGCCCCCAGAGCTATGAGAAAATACGTTTCTATTTCTACCAGTTTGTGGTAGGTTATGGTAGCCCTAGGAGACATAACTATCTTTCGTGGCTGCATCTCGGAAGTGGCAGTCCATCTTGTTTTGCCTTATTCTGTTGGTTAGAAGCGAGCCACTAGGTCCAGAGAATGCTGTGAATACCAAGAGGCAGGAGCCGCTGGGAGCCACTTTAGAAATTGCTTCCACAGCATACGTATTCTGAGGGTAATAGTGCTGCAGTCTGTGTCCCTCCTCCTCCTGAGGACACCTAGAGTGTTTCTGCTTTCCCACCATGACAGAACCTAGTGTGAAGATTCTTGAACGTGTCTTCTTGAGCACATTTGCAGATTTCTCTAGAGTCTAGAAGTAAAGCTGCTGAATTGAGGAACTTTAGTAGATATTTCCAAATTGCTTTCCAGTGTGGTCCCAATCTTACCCTCCTTATCATTGAGGTTGGAGAGTTCACATTTTCTCACACCCTCATCAACAGCTGGTATTGTCAGGTTTTAAAAAACGTATGTTAACCTGAAGGGTGTAAAATAACTTGTTTTTTGTCCTTTTCTTACTGATTTGTAGGCATTCTATATAGTCTGGATAGTAATTTGTTGCTTCTATAGGTCATTCCTAAATCGGTAGCATGTTTTGTCAGCAGAGTTTATGCATTTTGTAGAATTTGTAACTTTTGTAGATAATTCCTTGTATGCTTTCTAAAGCTTTTGGTGTCATTTTAAGAATGTTTCCCCCATTCCAATGTCAAAAATATTTCTTTTTACATATGGATCTTTAATCTAGAATTGATTTTGCATGAGCTGTGATCTTATATTTGTACTTACTTCTTTCTTTTCCAATTCATACTTTCTTTTTCCGTTTATCTCTTAGTGATTGCATTAAGTATATTTTTTCTTCTCTTAGCTTTCCTTTTAGTAATTTTAGGGGGTTTTTTTGGGAGGGGAGGTAGTTAGGTTTATTTAATTATTTTCTTAATAGAGGTGCTGGGGATTGAACCTAGGACCTCATGCATGCTAAGCATGCGCTCTACCACTCAAGCTATACACCCTCCCCACTCCTTTTAGTGATTTTAAATTCCACATCCTTTCATTCCTTTGCCAAATTCCCTTAATTTTTAATAATCTTCAAGGTTTAATCTAAAATAAATACCTCTTCTGTCCTGAACATGCAGCTTATTCTGCTTTGTACACTGTGCTTCTCCTAATCCTGATTGTATGTCACTGGCACTGTTTTCCCCACTCAGATACACCTGTTTGGTTCTGTCCAGGTGTTTCCCATCGCTTTTCATCTCCCACCTCTCCTTTCTGAACTCATGTTAAAGCAGCACATCTTTCAGCAGTTTTTTCCACAATGGTCTGTTTATGATTAACATGTGCATGTCTGGAATTATCTTTATTTTACTTTCACTCTTGAAAGAGTTTAGTTTGTATGTAATTCTTAGCTGACAATTTCCCTCAGTATTTTGAAACATCATTCCTTTGTCTTCTGGTTGTTGCAAATGAGAAGTCTGAAGGCAGCCTAACCCTAGTACCTCTGTAAGCCACCTGTCTCTTCTCACAGCTTCTGGGTTCTTCTCTTTGAGCTCAGCGCTCTGCAGTTTCACTGTGTTGTGTATAGTGTGCGTCCTACTTGGGATTTCTGTGCCCTGTAAATACGAGGACTTGGTTCTGTCAAATCCTGAGGGACCCCCGGGCTTTCTCTGGGTAGTGCTTCGCCCCATTCTTCTCTCTGCGCCACCTGTTTAGACACATTTGGAAGCATTTCATTCCACCCTCCGTATTTTAACCTTGCTTTCATATTTTCTATTTTTAATCTCTGTGCTGCACGCTGAGGAATTTCCTTAAGTCTTCCAATTTAGTAATTCTCTCTTTATGTCTGGTCCTGTTAAACCTGTACAGAAGTTTTCCATTTGTTTGTAGATTATATTCTTCATATCTAGAATGTCCTTGGTTCTTTTTAAATTCTTCCGCCCCCCCCCCAAAACTACCTTGGCTTACCCTATGGTTTCTGTTGCTTCTTACCTCTTCAGACATGTTACACACACTCATCTTAAAGTCTCTGATTTTTCCTTCTCTACCTTATGATGGCTGAGTTCCTTGTGGGGGTCTTTTCTTTCCTGGCACCTAGAGAAGGGGAGAGGGCTTCCTTCCCATGTTAGTCCACAATGTCAAGGCTATGTGTCTTCACACAGGAAAGAGGGGCCTTTGTTTCTTTAGACAGAGAGACCCCTGAATGGCTGGCCTTGTCAGACCCTCCAGAGTGCCCTGACATCTCTGAATGGGTACCAAGTGGTGAATTAAAGGTAGTTCTGAGAATTTTCCCACATCTTCATCTGGCCCTTTGTGACCCTGAAAAAGTCATTTAACTACGCATCTTCTTTATTTAGTGGGAGAGAAAGGTAAAGCATTTTAAGAATAGAATTTCAAAGAAAAGGTGACACAGGATTTCTTAAAAACAAATAGTTCAATTTCATTTTTATCTGGAAAACATACGAGTTTAAAATGAAACAAGCACTTTGACATGTCATCATGTGTCATTTTTTGTGGTACTAGTTCAAAATGTGAAGATACAGAACCTTTATAAATTCCTAGAATCAAAGATTCCCAATACAGATGAAAACAGATTGGTTATAAAATGTCAATTCACTAAATACTCCGTTTTCGCTTTGTTTTTATCAGGAATATTTTATACAAATACTGTATAAAATAAGGCAGATTTTTGGAAACTCAATTATAAAATTTTAGGAAAAAAGTGTGAAGTCCTAATTTCTTTTCACTTTGGGGAGTTGCCTGCAGAGCTGAGGCCACGTGAGCAGGTCCGAGCACTGGCTTCCCCACGGGAGCCCTTCTCACTCGGCTCTCCTAGAATCAGACCCACTGACAAAACAGTTTTCCCAATTAGCATCAGTCAGAAAAGTTTAACATACATAAATATTTCTATAGTGCAGTAAAAATGTGTCATTTTGTATTTTAAATTTGCATTATGAAAATAAGTCTGTACACTAAGCGATACATATTTAATGAATATGAATCATGTAAATTTGGTCATGGCATTTAAAGTTGGCTTTGGCTTTGAAGTATTTTTAAATTCATAGAAAATATTGAACTTCTAATAAAATAAATAACACATTTTAATAATTGATATTAATAATCAACTTCAAAATTTGTCTTTGTCATTTGCTACTCAATTTTAAAAGAAGTCACTTTCAGTAGTGTTCCAAAGTGAGTGATTGCACCTTCTATGATGTGAAAAAAAATCTGATTGCCATTAGCTGTTCTTAAGTGCTCAACATAACTGAGAGAAATTGTTTGCAACAAGACATTCTCTGTCCCTGGCAGGAAGTCCATCAGTATCCTTTGCAGGGGCGGTCCCGAGCTCGTGTTCTAACCAAAGCTACTTGCCAACCGTGGTTCTCACGGGACTGTCCGACGAGCCCCGCAGCAGGCCCAGGTGCAGAGGACTGTGTCTCCCTTCATGGCAATGGCATCAGATGATGGCTACAGAAGGTCACTGGTGTCCCCACGTGTTCTTACAGGCTCTGCAGACCTGGGGATGGTTTTGCCTAACACTGAAAGGACCAAGGAACCCTGGCAGCCCTCAGGAATTACAAGCAACCGAGGGGCGGAGCGTCAGGGCCCCGGGGAGGGCTGCGCACGATGCGGGGGTGGGCGCAGGGTCCGCAGCTTCAGTTCGTCCAGTCCTTTCCAGTACTTAAAGTTGTTGTCAAGATGCTGCATTAACTCAGGCAGGTCTACAAAGGCTGGAGAGAAAGATGGGAATGTGACGTCCGTTCACAGCCTCAGCCTAGGCTTTCTAAGGAGAGCGCGTGTGAGGAGGAGGCACGGAAGGGGGAGACGGGCGCCTAACGCTCACGGACACGGCAAACACACGGTCTGACGACTGAATCAAGCCCTGTACTCAGCGCCAGCAGCTCGTCCGTGACCACAGCTGCACTGAGCTCTGGTAGGTGAAGCAGCGGAGTGCTGGCCTGCTTAGTCACCATTTAATCAGCCTGGGGTGTCAGGGACAAAGTATAGGGAGCCCCCGACCTTACACCAGTGCCAGGAGCTGACTGGCTCTCCTGCGTGACCTCCTGCAGGGCGGGGGGACAGCCCCTCCCATCTGCAGCACGTCCCTGAGGGCAGGAGTGGGGGAGCAAGTCATTTTCACAAGAGAACGGGGGCCTGGAGAGGCCACGCTTCTGGTCTCAGTCCCAGAAGCACTGAGCTGGGAGCCGACCACCTGGCCCTGGGGCCACAGCCTGGCCTCTGAGCACCCAGAGAGGAGGCCTGGCTCCTGCTGACCAGGTCTGGATGTGTGTCTGCCACAGCGCAGCTGCCCAGGGAGTATCCGTGGGGCCTCAGCCCTGAGAATCCTCTACCTGACAGTCCCCTCTGCCTGTGCTGAAGGTTAAAGAGGGGCATGGGTCTCCGCCAGAGACCAGCCTGCCCCAGGTCTGCTGCAGAGCCGGTGAGAGAAGCTGGGGGAGCAGATGGCAGAAGGGTTCCCGCAGGAACAGTGTGGGAACTGGAGTTGACATAAGTGGTTTTGAATCCTAGGTTCTCTACCACCGGCTGTGCAGCCCCAAGTTCACTTCTATCATCTACAAAATGGGCAGTACCCCGGCCAGCCCTGGGGGCCGGCCAGTGAGGAGGAGGCGCCCACCCCGCCCTCAGGTTCCCGGGTGACAGCTCATTGCGTCTCCTCAGACCTTCGTGAAAGTCTGAGCCCCCTAACATGTTCTAAAGTCAAAAACGACGCTATTTGCTACCTAACAGGCAGTTCCCCGCTATTTAGGGAGATATGCTCTAAGTGTTCTTACCGTCCCAAGCGTCGAACATGTCTGTGATGAAGTAGTCAATGAAAGAGATTTGGGATTTGGGGATGCTGCAGGTATTTCTGTCGAAAACTGGCATCACCACAGGCAAGTCTTGTTGCTTCTCTTCATCCGTCTGTAAAGCAGAAAATGCTGGAATTACAAGACTCCAGGATCCGGCTCCACTGGAGACTCTCCTGGCCTCCCAGGGAGCACGTGGGGATGACAGCCCGAGCCGACAAAGCAGACCTGCCGCTGCATACCAGGTTGTCCCCAGAGTGAGGACTGCTCTGTGCCGGGGGCCTGAGGACACCCCAACCCGGCCCAACCCACATTTTCAACACCCAGAAGCCTCTTGCTGAAGCTCCTCAGGTAAGATCCCAAATGGTATCTGTGGTGCATGAACCGTTGTTAGCCACCTCCTTGCTGCTCCCAGCCCAGCCCTCTCTCCTGTCAGGTGTTTCAAGGGCCTGACCCAAGAGCTGAAGGGGGAGCGAGGAACAGCCAGCCCCCCTCCCGGAGGAGGGACTAGTGGCTGCCTCTCATCTCAGACCAGATTTTTATTTGAAAACGTTCTGAATGTCCTTGAGATCCTTGAGGTAAAGAAGCTCTGTGAAGAGTTTCATGTGCTTTAGTCAGATTCTCCCAGAACATCTTTAGGATTCCAGAGGGGTTTGTTTAAAAAAAAAAGATATATTTTAAATGAAATGAAAAATATATATATATATAATTAAGATCCTGGAGGAAAAGACAAATTTGTCTTAAAACATAAAAGGGAGTTTCTTGTTCTTTTTTTTTAAATAAAGTCTTACTTTCATCAAAGGGTCCTGGAGAAAAGGATGAGGGGCACCCAGAGGGGGACGATGAGGCAGAGGGTCTTCCTGGAACGAGGTGGGAACTCAGAGGGTTTGCGCAGGTGATTAGAATCACCGAGAGGTCCCTGCTGGAGCCAGGGCTGAAAGTGAAGTCGGACGGTCACGCAAGGGGCAGGATGATGGGGGTGCTGAGTGTGGGACCAGCATTAAAGGAGATGGGGCGTGCCTGGCTAGAAGGGGCAGAGCCATCCTCTGGCTCCGGAAGGCACAGCTGTCCTCAGCTCCCCGGATCCCTATTCCTGATTGTCAGGGCAGACGGCCCCTGGTGGACCGGCTGCGGTAGGGAGATGGCCAAAGGGGCAGCTCTGCACAGAAGACAGGCGGTGGAGTTAGTAACTTCAGGGAACCCAGTGTGTGCAGGTGGGTGCCACAGGGCGTTCAGCAGAGGTAGAGAGTCTGGGACGAGAGAACTTTCTGACCTAGCACGGACTTCTCTGCAGGGCCTGTCAGTGACGCAAGGGCTGAGGATGGAAGGTGTGCAGTGCGCTCGGACTCTGCCCAGCTCTGGGGGCCACATGGGGCTGTAGAAGTGCTGTTCTGAGAGTGGAGGACATTTCTTGAGTGGCCAACACTGGGACAAGAATTCTGGTGTTCAGTAGGACCAAAAGAAAACCTCCTGTTGGGGCTGGGGGCCTGTCCCTCCCAATTCTTACCCCTGGAACTGTTTCCACAGAGCTAACTAGGGCCGGTGCCTCCCGGTCCACCCACACCCCCAGTACTGTTCTTGACAACTGTCCAGGTGCTGCTTGCCAAGTCACTGGAAGAACTGGGCTCCACAGCTAAAGGCAGATGACTTTCCCTGGAAGTGGCAGTGACTCACCACAGTTCTCAACATGCGAGGTCTACTTGAGGGTAGCAGGTAACCTTTGGAGGTTTCCTGGGAGGGACTGTACCGAGCGTCCTGCAGAGGTGCACTTATACTGGCTGGGTGCTGACGGTGCTGGGGCGGGTGCCAAGAAAGAGGCCTGTGCTAGACTATGGGACAGGCCAGGACAGAGACCCTCTACACCTGTTGCTGGGCCAGGAGCAGACGACTCCAGGAGGTGTGGGAGGTCGGATCAGGGTGCTCTGGGAAGAGAAGCAGCAGGGAACACTGACAAGTCTTGGCTTCTGCTGGCAGGCCACAGGCTGGCAGCCCCGTCCCCACTGCTGTCTCAGAAAACTGCAGGGTTATCTCCACATGGGTCTCTGCCATGGGCAGGGAGGGAGGGGGCAGGAAGAGCCTCGGGTTCACCGCCCACTGGCCTGTCTGGCTCAGAGAGCAGGGCCCCAGGCAGGTGCCCTCCTGACACTCCCCCTCCCGAGGGGGAGCAGAGGCTCGGCTCAGTGCTCATTCGTGGCTCCAGAGGCTTTTCTACGGCAGGCCTGCCCTCCCCATCCACATGGAATCAGCTGACTTGTTGAAGGTCAGTGAAAGCCCTCATGCTCTGTTTCTTTGCTTTGGCTCTGCAATCTGTGTTCATAAGGATGATGGACTGTAATTTTCTCCTGATGTTATCTTTGTCAAGTTACATAGCAGGGTAATAAGGGCTTCATAAAATGATTTGCAAAGTGTTCTCCCATCTATTTTCTGGTATAATTTGTAAGACTAGCATAATTTCTTAAACGTTTCATAGAATTCCTCAATGAAATCATTTGGAGTTTTCTTCGTTAAAAGCCTTTCACTGAAACATTTTGACCAAATGTCTTTAATATGGGGCTTCTAAGGTTATTGTTTAATCTTGTCAGTTTTGGTAAATTGTAGTTTTCAAGGAATTTGACCATTTCATTTGTCAGTTATTGCAACAATACTTTCATTCTTGATATTGGTAATCTGTGTTCTCGTTTTCTTGATTATTCCAGCTAGGTATTCACAGATTTTGTTAATTCTGGCAAAGAATCAACTTTTGGCTTTGTAATTTTTTTTTACTGTTTCTTTTCTATTTCTTCATTTTTTGCTTTTATTTATTCCTTCTTTCCTACTTTGTGTTTACATTGTCTTTTTCTAGTGTAAGGTGAAATCTAAGTCATTAACTTTAGTGCTTTCTCTAATTATAAATGTCTCTCTAATCACTTAGTTGCATCTCAATTTTAATATATTTTCATTTAATTTCTATATATTTTCTAATCTCCTTTGTTATCTGACCCATGGTTTATTTAGAAATGTGCTGTCAATTTCCAAATATCTGGTGTTTACATAGGTACCTTATTGTTACTGATTTAACTCCACTGTGGCTAGAGAATATATTCCATATGATTTCAGTTATTTGAAACTTACTGAATCTTTTCTTTGGCTCCAGCATATGATATGTTGGTGAACATATCGTGCACTTAATACTTCTAAAACACTACACTGTAAGTCTGCTGCAGAATATACATTAACTAAGGTAAGGTGACTGATACTTTAATCCAGTTGCTCTAGCATTGCTGAAAATGGGTATTAAAATCTATGATCCTACTTGTCCCTGTGCTTCTGTCAAGAAGTTCTGTTATTAAATAAATGCACAGACATTTATGATTAGTATGTCTGCCTATATAGAACTTTTAATCATTTTGAAATGTCCCACTTTATTTTGTGTCTTGACGACTATTTTGTCTAAGATCTGTCCATCCCAGACTTTTCATATTAAGAATTTGCATGCTATATCTTTTTCCATCCATTTACTTTGCACCTACCCTTTATATTTTAAGTGTCTTCTGCAGACTGCATGCAGTTGGTATTATTTTTCCAAAATCCAGTCTGATGGTCTTTTAATTGGAGTGTTTAGTCCACTAACATTTAATGTAGGTATTGATATGATTAGAGTTATAGAACTACCATTTTACTCTTTTCGGTTTATTCCTCTATTTCTCCTTTCCTGTTGCCTTTGTATCATTTAATAAACTTTAGAATTCTATTATATCTATTAGCTTTTAAGCTACACTGCTCTAGGGATTACTAAACGTATTATTAGCTCAGTAGAATGAAAAGTGAAGGATATAACCAACACTTCAGGTAAAAAATGTAGGAATCTTGGATTTGTGTAGGTCAGTTTTACTTTCCCTCATCCTTTATGTTATCATATATGTAGCCATAAGATAGGACAACTGTATCTTCTACAATGCATGCTATAACTCGTGCTTAAAATAGTCCTACGTATTTAGAGAAATTACAAGGAAAAAATCTTTTATAGTTACCCAGCTTGCTATCATTTTAAAAAATATTTTATCTTTTTCTGTTTATTGAGGTATAACTGATATACAGTACTATATTAGTTTCAGGTATACAACATAATTCAATATTTGCATATGCTGAAATGATCACCATAATCATCTGTCACCAAACATAGTTACAGAATTTCTCTTCTTACAATTATAACTTTTAACATCTACTCTTAGCAACCTTCAAATATGCAGTATAGTATTATTAACTAGAATCACCAAGTTGTACATTACCTCCCCAGGACTTATTTTATAACTGGAAATTTGTACCTTTTGATTCCCTTCATCAATTCTGCACCCTCACCCACTCATCTGACAACCACAAATCTGTTCTCTAAGATTCCACATATAAGTAACATCCTACGGTATTTGTCTTTCCCTGACTTATTTTGCTTAACATAAAGCCTTTAAAAATGGCAAGAGTTCATTCTTTCTTAAAAATAATATTCCACTGTGTGTGTATACACAGACCTCCCCACACCCACATCATCTTACCCACTCACCTGCCAACGGATGTGTAGGTTGTTTCGGTATCTTGGCTATTGTAAGTAATGCTGCAATGAACGTGGGAGTGCATATCTCTTTTTGGGTTAGTGTAGAATTGCTGAATCATATGGTAGTTCCTTTTTTTTCTTTAATGGAGGGAACTGGGGATAGAACCCAGGAACTCATGCCTGCTCAACTCAGCCTACCACTGGGCTACTACACGGCCCCTTCCATTTTTAATTTTTTGAAGAATCTCCATACTGTTTTCCATCATGGCTGCACTAA